GGGTGCCGGCCCTGCGGAGATGCCCTTGGGTGAGGGGGCAGCAAGGCTGGGATCCGATCAGCTCTCCTCAGCGCCTGAGTAACCCGAGCCTTGGGCTAGGTCACCGGCTGGTTCAGCCCTTCGCTCCCGAGCCTTCCTGGCACACGGGCGGTCATTGCCCTGCGCCAGCTGCGGGCTCGGACGCTTTGGGAAGCGACAGGGCTGGAGAGGTGGCTCCTTGGGAAGCRGGGAGGCTGGAGAGGTGGGCGCCTGGCGGACACTGCCCCTCGGACCACTTGCTTGGGCRGGGGCTGTTTCCTCCTAAATGTCCTAAATACCGGGGTGTGAGATAGAAGGGGAGAGATATGTGTTATTTCAGCAATAGTTTGTTAAAAATTAAAATGAATCCTCCCAGCTATGATAAATAGGAAAAGAGCTTATACTTGCAACCTGTATTAAATGTGTTGAAGGTGTCAGATTGTTTCTTAGGGATTTACCATGGTGGATGTATGACAAGAAGGGAGATTTCCTTCTCAGAACAGAACAAAAGTTGGGTATTTCCAAGGTGACCCAATACTTCCTTTTTTTTTTTTTTTTTTTTTTTCCTCTTTTGCAAGACTAATTTTCATCACTTTGAAAAATCGTGATTCAGAATATATATACACAAAATAATGTAAAGGATTTTTAAATCTGTTTTTACTCAGCCTGTAAAATCTAACCTGCTTTAACCCAGTTGTTGATTTAAGATAGCTTGGATGGAACTGGAACGCAGTTTGGAAATGATTTGTGTAGTTTTAAAACCCACTTAAACCTCTTTGCCCTAAGTTTCACCCAGGAGTGCCTGGATGAAATATGTGAGTGTGATGTTACGAGGTATTTTATTGTTGGGAACCCGGAGCTCCTGGTCCTCAGTTTGGATGCCCATGCAGGCAGTGCTGCTCTTCCACGCGAGCTGATACCCGGCAGGTATAGGAGGAGAGCAGGAACTGGATGCCAGTTTTAACTGCGTCTTTTATAAAATCATGCCAAGCTGGAGGCAGCCTGCAGGCCGTGCATTCCCAGGAAGCCTCTCCGAGGGACTGTCCGCTAGATGGAAGTGTTTCCCGATCCCTGCCGTGCGGGAAGCGGGCCGGGAGCGTCGGAGGGGGCTGGCGAGGCGCTCCCTGCACGCGCCTTGCTGCTGCCCCTGGCCCGTGTGGGGTCTGTGGCTCCGCCAGCCTCTGCCCGGTGCTCTCTTGATTCCCTCTCTGCTTTCTCGTCTTCAAAAAGGCCTTGATCCTTCCGCTGAACGCTCTCCTAGCACCTCCACATTCCCACACTCCAGTTATTTTGCATAATCCTCCCAGAAAAGCTCCATGCTCGGAGCAACTGCTTTTCCTTGTGTGTGGGTGATGCCTGCGCCCCGCTCGGGCCTGGTCGTGCCGGCCTTCCGCGCCTGCGGCCGGCGGGGAGCGCGGGGCCCTGCGGGGCTGGCTGCAGCTCGCTGTGCTGTGCACAYACTGTGCTGCAGCTCCTCGTGTTTTCAAGAAGGCAGCTGAAAGCCTCTTAAATCAATGATGCTAAATGGAAAGGGAAGAATTTGTTTGACGCTTTGCATACATAAAATCTTCCTCTTTCTTGGACTTGTCTGGCACTTGAACACGTGCCCAGGCCYGCTGGTGTGACACGAGCAGCTGCTGCTCCCCCGCGCGGGCGGCCGAGCCGCGGCTGGCAATGCTGCCACTCGCCATCCCGCAGGGCTGCTGGGCGCCTCGCGTCTCCCTGCCCTTCCTCTGCCACCACGGGTCGTCCCAGGAGACTTGCAGTTCGCCAGGTTTTGTCCTCTGTGACTTTGGCTGTCCCTCGTTGCGTAGTTGGGATTTATTTTCCCACCATCCTGGACTCGGGGAGGCGGGTACTATTTCAATGGCAGTCCTGTTTGAACTGGGAAGATGAGGAATGCGGTTGTGCAGGAGGAAGAATGCGGGTGGGAACCGAACTCGGGGCTCCGGTGGCAGCACTGGGGTCAAGAGGCTGCGTTCAGCTGCAGGTGTTTGATCCCAAGCTGGCGTCCGGCCTTGTCCAGGTTTGCTGGACAGCTCTTAGCCGGGAGAAGGGCAGGGTGAGCAGCGCCAGGAAGGGTCTAAGAAASCTGCATGCAGGGGAAATTCAACACRGCGAGTGTCTCTGCCCCGCGCTCACTGCGAGCGCAGCGTATCTGCCAGGAGCAGCAGAGGCAGAAAGGGCAACGCCGGCATCCCTTTCTCCAAACATGCTGGTTCCACTYGTTCTTAATTTACAGAGAATGTAAATAATTTAGTGAAGTCTCCTGGAGCGGGGGAACGAGGCGGCCGAGGCACGAAGTCTCATTATGTTTCTGCAGGGGTCCCTCGCAAATCTTGGCTTTCTGATTGTCCCCCTTTCTTAGTTCTCTCTCTCACCTTAGTTCTTCAAATTGAGAAATTAAACTGTAGCCAGAGCCTGCTGCAGAATCGTGAGTAAAAGCTGTGGGAAGTGTTCTTTTCCTTTTGCTGTTTATTTTATTCACGTTCAGAGGAAAGTGCAAGTTTTCCTTCTGTGTGAGCTYGTCCCTGGCTTGGCGGGTCTGACACGGGGCTCTCTAGCTGGCCYGGGTGCTGTGCAGAGCCTGGCTTGCTTTCAGAAGCTGTAAAACGAGATCCTTCACCTCGCAAACATTTTGTTTGTGGAGATTGCTGGCATATGCTAGGGGTTAGGACCATGTATTAAGTACAGTTTATGTTCCTACTGTATGTTTTATTYTAACTTCAGGGATCAAAGGCAAGAGTTTTGTGTTTTTTAATCGATCAGTCTGTGAAATGATTCCTCCACCCTCATCTTGCAGGATTTTCATCAGAATGACTTTAGTTCCAAGGGTGGAGAAGGTCATAGTTCAATCTCAGCCCTATCCTAAAGGGAAATGCTCCTTAGAGATAAAGGCAAATTGCCACCTTACGGTCAGCATCTTGTAAGTTAGGTCAGGAGCTCAAGATACCTAATTAATTTCTTGTAAATGCTTGTTAGGAAGCAGGAAGCCTCCTGACTTTTCCTCACCTTCCTAGACTTCCGTGGGAAATCCATTCTCCTTATTCYTTCCTCTACTGCCACTTGATCACTTGCTTTTGTGTACTTTGTTTATGCCACGGTGTCAGGGATAATAGCAATATCCACATGAAAATCAATCAGGGGATATCCTGCCTTTCTTCTGCTGGAAAGGAGCTGTGCAGAACAAGGATGGGAAATTACATGTGCCTTGCTTTACCTGCCTCGTGTGGCTGCGTGGAGGGCTACCCCGAAGGAAGCAGGAGGACAAGCAGCAGTTGCTGCAGGGCCCGTGCTGGCCACCGCCTCCTTCCCCTGCGCTGCCGGCAGGAAAGGCGCTCAGCTCCGGCTGCTCCATTAGCAGCCTCCCGTTCCCCAGCTGGGCGCTCTTTCTCTCCGGGGAAAGAGAGGCAATAAACACGCTTCGAATAAGGGAAAACTCTCTGGACCATTAATGGCTTTTTGAGTTGTGCCTTGAGGGGGAGGCTGCAAAAGGTGCTGAGCGGGGCCCCGTTTCTTCCTCTGCTTCTGAAATCTTCCTGCTCTGCTGCCCAGGCTCCCGGGGCTCCGCGTGAGCCAGTGTTACTAACTGGGTCGGGCCGGACTCCGCTCTCGCCAGCTCTGTACAAAGGATGAGGGACATGTTCTTTGAAAGCAGGAATCAAGTCAAATTTTATCGTCCCTGAAGCAAGAGGACAGTGTCCCCTTCCACGCTGGGTTAATAACAGGTAAAGAGCCATTTAAATCGCTGCTGCAGCCGTGCTGGCTCCTGCCGAGAAGCACGGGCCTGCAGACACTTAGCGGAGGAATTTCCCTCATGTGAGTAAGGGCTTTGATGTTCAGCTGAATTACTGTTTGCAGAAATTGCCCTGTGGTTTGCCTAATCAGTACTGCATTTTGAGAYAGATGCTTCTAGTCAAAACTCTGCTTTCCTTGGGCTTAGCTTCTATCTTCTTATTCCTAAAAACATACTTAAAACCCAACTTGACAGTCCCTGAGAGTTTATTTAGTTTTTCTAAATATTGATTTGCTTTGATTGAATTATGCTAACCATTTATTGCCAGATTAAAAAGTTGCACAGCTTTACCTAATCAGGTGGCCAAGAAAAATGTATAGTTTATTCTTCTCTCCATGATACTGTCTTCAGATAGCAATGAGAAGCTATTCGCACATTTGTGAAAGGCCTAAAGCAACAGGATTTTAACATTTTCAGTGGTTACGGAGAAAGGAGGAGACCAGTGGATTTAGAAATGTTGTAACTGGGGGCTGTGCATGCAGGGACAAAGAGGTTGTGCATTTGGTGGGCACCCGCTTTCCTGCACCCTGAGCTGAGCAGGGAGGACAGGGGAGCACAGAGAGTTAAGAAAGATGGGCAAGAAGCAAAGTGTAGGGGTAAAATACTGATCAGTGCTCTTCTCCAAAACCCAATAGCCACGACTGGTTAAAGCAGGCAACACTGCAGCTAGTTGCACTGAACTAGCCTAGCAATGTCCAGTCTTTTTCGGGTGTAATTACTGATAGATCTGGGGTAGATCTGGGTATTGGTATGGCAGGTATACTGAACATGATCAGGAGAGTGCTGATTACGTCCTTGGCATCCAAGGCAGTATACRGGTTTTATTTACAGTAGCACTTCATCAGTGACCTTCTCATTGTAATAATGGGCTATAATTATCATCTAATTTGCATTCATTAGCACCTATAAGAATAGAAGGTGTCCCAGTCAAGAATAGGGCTATTAACATATCTTTTGTTTGTGCTGGGTATTGAATGACATTACCTCATGTGGGTTTGCTTCCTTGATGTGGCTTCAAATTTGGCTTGCACCTCTTCCCCTCCTCTACTAGTCTTCCCTGATAACAAGAGATGGGGCTCATGTCGTGGCTGGACTGCARTATTTCTTGACACAGGGCAAAAAGAAAAGTCTAAATCTCAAAAAGCATATGTTTTTAAGAATAGTGCATATCTGTTTTCTTTCCCAGTGTAAATGTAGGCTCGCTCTTTAAGAACAGTATTTCTCTGTGGAAGGGACCTGAGTCTTGGTGTTGCCCGGGAGTGTCGCTGGTGTCCGGAGCTCTCACGTGCCGAGTGTGAGTGAGGCCAGAARCCGAGCCCCCCTGCACCAGCACAGGGCCTGCCCCTGCACCAGCACACCCGGGGGTGATGGTATGTACACAGGGGCTGCTTTGGAAAATAATTCAGACATATAAAACTGCTGCAGCAACAAAAAGGGCCCCATAAAAGTCTTCTAGTTTAAATGGTTTCATTTAACGAGGCACAATTAACTTGGTGCTTTATTTCCTTGTTTCTCTGAACCCACCCATGGGGCCTCTGAACTGGGCAGAGAGGCATTTCCTTAGGCTGTAATTGTGAGTTTTTGATGGCCAGTGAAACCACTGCCCACATGGACACTGCAGAGAGATCCCTTTTTATGTGCCTGAGATTTTTGCGGTTGCTTGGCATTGGCTGCCTTTGGTTTTGGGTGGAGAGGAGGGCTTTTTTTGAGAACAGGTGTTTTTAATCAGCTCTGGAAAGGCAGCTTGAGCTGAAGGCTGGAGCAAAGGGCAGGCAGTAAGAGACAAAGACTGAGGTGTAAATCTACTGTTTTCTTAAATGGGTGTATAAAATACAAACCTGTTGTTGCAGTCTTAAGTCCACACAGTAATATTTCCAAGAGTTAAAATCTAGCCCTGCCTTAGTGTTACCAGGAGCTAAAATGGGCTATAGTGATAAATTTTGCTTCAATAAAGCATTTTCATTCCTATTGMAAAAGTTCCATATAAATTCAAGTTATTAGTAATTAATACGGCCATTACAGCAGATATGAATTATATATAATATTTGCTTCCAAAATAGTATTGCCTGTCCCTATCCCAGTAGTTCAGTGCTAAAACCAGTGCCTGGTTTCATCGCAGGCCAGGTTTTGCGTTGCAGCCGGTTTCCCTTTGGTCTCCGGGACCGGCAAGCTGTGGTCTGGTCGCCCTGGCTGTGTGTGGTGCAGTCCCCTGCATGCCCCCGCCAAAGCTGCTCCCACTTCCCAAAGCGAAATCCCTTTGCTTTGCTCCCAGCCTGGGTGTTTTCACCAGCCTTCCGACTTTTTTCTTTCTGCTTAAACCTCATGATCTTGTAATTGGCAGTTARCACACTAAGGGAAAATAACAATGAACTCAGACTTAATGTGTCTTATTTAGATAAACAGCTTTTTTTAATTAATAGAATTAATTTCACTGTTTTTTTTCTTTAATCTGATACAGAAAATTGGCACTGAGGACCATGTGCTTCAAACAAGAGAGTTCCTGGAGCAGGAAGAGCAACCTCTTCACACCTCGCGGAGCTCCCACAGTTGCCGTGTGCCTCGCTGTGGCTCCATGATGGGGGCACAGGCTCTATTTTATACTGTGCCCAGGAAGACAGTCCAAYGCTGAGGAAACACCTGACTCTAGAAATGTTTCCTAGCTGTTTTTCCCAGATGAATTCTGTAGCAAAAACGAGGTACCGTGTCCTGGAACAACATCRTGTCGTGGGGGATCTTTGGCGATTTGCTCAAGGCGCCGGAGTCACCACATGCCCTCAGCTATACACGTGGCCTCTGCAGGGCTGAAACTCCAATCCACTGAGCTCGCCCAGGCCGTATAAATCAGGAGCAGTTCAGCTGCCTCCAGGGGAATTCCTGCTCTCATAACAGCCGAGTGACGGCAGCTCCCCCAATGCTGGGCAGAGCTTAGCAGAAGAGAGGAAATATGTCAGGTTCTTTTCTCAGTCGCTTATCTTTGTATGCAGAAAAGTGACACTTTCCCCTGCCTAAACACGTGTTACATTGTGGGTTATTTCCCTGTATGTGAATGCTGGCACGTGAGACCCTTTTGAGTTATAATGGAAAGGGAAGATGAAAATAGAGAGAGAAATAGCAATGCAGTGATCCGCTTGGTTATTCTGGTTCGCCCCACTGTGCGGGCCTTTGTTTTGCTGTAGTTTAAACACGTGTCTAGATGATTTATGTAAAAGGAGGCAGGTTTGGTTTAAATCCAAATAAAGGTGTGTTTACCCCCATCCAAAGCACTGGGGTAATGGCAGCCTATTTACTGCCTCTTGACTGGCTGTGCAAAGATGATTTAAAAGGAGACAGTTTCCCTTGCACGTGCAAGGGCATGAAGTGCAAGCAGGATCCTTGCCAGGGCAGCGAGGAAGTGTCTGGGGGGGAAAATCCCCCTCCGTGCCCCGCTTGTTCCTGGCAGAGCAGGAAGGTACATGGAGCACATGGGGCCCTCCGCCTCGCCCATGGGGCGGCAGGTGGGGCTGAGGGGGATGCTCAGCTGCCCTGAGGAAGGGGAATCTCATTCGTGTCCTCCTCGAGACGCGTTTCATGGGCTCCCCAGCGCGTAGGCTGCACCTCGTTATCTCCCCAACACACCTGAGTTGGGGGTTAGTAGTCACTTTAAGGAAACTTCACTGACGTTAAGGGAACCTAAATGACATCTCATCTTGTGGTCCTCTCTGTCCTTTTTCTTTCGTTCTTCATCGGATGCACCTCCTCCTGTTGAGGACACTGTCAGAGGCATCTTTTTGCATCCAGGCCCAAATCTGCAAAATTCGTTACGAAATACCTATTCAGGTTTTAACAGATCCCCTTGGGGTGTAATACTAGAATTTGCCAATGTAGCACATTCTTTGGAAGGGAAAAAAAAAAAGGCAGGGGRAAAAAAAAAAAGARGAGCGGGAGCCCGAGGCTTGTGCTGGAAGGTGGAAAGCCGAGGATGCAGCTGGGGTGGCAYCTGCCCAGCCAGGCCCTCTCCTCCCTCCAGTCCTTGCTGGGCCAGGGGGACCACAACTGSTGCCCTGTTCGTGCAAAGATCTTTCTTGAGCAATTTGGGAAGTGAAAAGCTAAAACAGTTTCATTAGCACGTTCAGTTGTTACTTCTTAGACTCAGGCCCTTGCTCAAGTGTTTTGTCAGTGCTCGTGGGAAAAACGTGGCCCTGCACATGAGGCACTGGAACTGCCAACAGGGCCAGAGCCCTGACACTAACTGGCCAAGGCAGCCTCATGACTAAGAAAATTCAGACATTAAAAGGCTTGTTAAAGGGATATGTTTAAATGTGTGTCAAGACAGGGCAGATTAACACAGGCAGAGGTTGAAAGTAGCTTGAAACGACCTGCAGCTACAAGCAAAGATGGTGCTTTATGTTCTAGAGCTCACAGGGTGCTCAAACATAATTGCTTTTATTGTGCTTGGCATCTGTTTGCTAGTTCATTACCATTATTTCCGACACTGGAAGAAATTCTGAGCTGTGTTTGCYGCACTGAAAGCGGATGAAGCAGCAAGTTGGACAAGTTCTCGTGCAGACAGAAGGTCAAGCACTGGTAAAAAGCAACACCACATTCACCCCGACATTAGTGGAGCTGCTTATGACTTTCAGTGATTTGAGAGAGGCGTTTGGCTCTTTCAGCCCACAGCATGTTTTGGATATGAGTTCTCCCCATGGTGGAGAAGTGATTATCCTGATTTCTGTGCCTGCTTGTGCTGTTTGCCATCATACCTTCACAATGGCATAACACATACCAGCAGCTGATCACATTTCCCCACCAGATTAGCAACTCCTTTTCAAGCAGTGCGGTAAGGATTGTTTAGCTATTACTGTCTCACATTTATTTATGCCAATCAGATTTCCTGCAACATTGCTCTTCAGTGTTTGCATCAGGCCTGTTCTGTGATATATGGACATCCAGTGCTGCAAATGTGTTTATCCTCACGACGATGCTGGGAAAAGCAGTTATTCTGCTCCAGATTAATAGATGGAAAACTGCTCAGAATGGCAACCACCCTGGAGCTCTGAAGCACTGGAAACAAGTCAGATATTCAGAGTTTTTGATTTTACACTTGAATTCAGTGTGGATGTCAATCATAGGGGGCTGAAACAAGACTTTTAATAGCTCATTCTTTCCATGTTGGTGTGGCCTATTGCACTGTCCTGTCTAGGAGAAGGAAAGGACTCCTGTATCCCAAGTCAGCCACACACATTAGTGCCATTAGTTCTCCTTGAGAAGCAGCCGCCTCTTTACAGGCAGCTGCCTCAGAAGCCGCCTGGCTTCGACCATCCTGGAGGCCTCATCAGCCGGGAGCTAGAAGCTGGGGGGTATGTGGGCTGGTGGGTCGGTTACTTATTTATTTATTTATTTTTATTATAGTCTTGCTTCTGCTGAACAAGGTTTATTTTTTGATACTGTGGCTGACACACCAGGCCCTTCAAGATTATATTTAGCTTGTGGGATTCTTAAGGCTGCAATCACAGCAATATAGTGGTTACTGCAATTGTGAAGTAACTGTTATCTGCTGCCTGTTTATACAGCTTTAAAATGTAGCTCTCGAATACATTCAGTGCAGTTGTTTTGCTCACTGATGTGCTTTATTGCCCACATGCGAGTCCCAGCACTCACAGACTGGAGCTCACGCAGGCCGCGCTCATTCCCAAGGCATTAAGCGCACATGTAGCCTCATAAGCAGAGCACTTCAGCGGCGCTGTGTGACGGGGCTGTGAGTGTGCTTTAAAYGCCTTCCCGGATCAGGGTCTCGGCTGCAAGGCCGAGATGCACGTTCCCACGTTCCGATGCCCGTGGGAACCTGCCCTTCGCTTGGTTTGCTGTAACTGACCTAAATCTTGGCACCCTCCTGCCTTTACCCTTGTGCCTGGGAGCCACGGCTCTCCTTTAATTCGTTACAAACGCTTGTGGGCGCAGCGGGCGGGGACGTAACCTAGGCCTCCCCTTCCCGCCTGCGTGCCCCGCGCCGGGGGCAGCGCCACGGGGCCGCGAGGAGGCGGCCGCGAGGGAGCTGCGCGCGGCCCCCAACGCTCCCGGAGCGCGGGAGCCCCTTCCCGGGCGGCGGGCGGGCGCGTTGCGGGCTGCCGGCACCGCGGCACCGCGGCCGCTCAACCGCCTCCAACCGGCGCCAGGGGCCGCTCTCCGCCCCCTCTCCCCGCGGGGCGCGGCCGCCGCCCGCCGGCTCCCCCCCTTCTGGGCGCCGCCGCTGCTCGCGGGGCATTGTGGGAGTTGTAGTCCAGCGGGCGGGTGGCGCGTGGGGCAGCGGCGCGCGCGGACTCGCCGCCCCAGCGTGCCGCGCGGCGGGCGCCCGGCCGTTGCTTTTGAATGCTCTCCCTGCGCTGGGCGCTCGCGGCGCGTCTCGCAGCGGCGGCGGCGGCGCGGGGGGCGCCGCGCGGAGCCCGTCGCTGAGCACCGCGGCGCCGCTCGGGGCTGCGCAGCGCCGGGCAGCGCGGGCTCTGCTGGCCGAGGACGCGCCATGGCCGCCCGCGGGCTGCGGGCGTTCTGAGCGCAGCAGCCGCGCTCCACGTTCGCCCTTGGTGCGCGGCCGCCCGCCCGCCGTGGCCCGGCCGCCGCCGACATGTCGCTGGCCATGGAGGAGGAGGAGTACGCCAAGCTGGTGATGGAGTCCGAGCCCGAGTGGCTGCGCGGCGAGATCAAGCGGCTCTTCCAGGAGCTGGGCGAGACCACCCGCGAGAAGATCCAGGCGGCGGAGTACGGGCTGGCCGTGCTGGAGGAGAAGCAGCAGCTGAAGCAGCAGTACGAGGAGCTGGAGCTGGAGTACGAGACCATCCGCACCGAGATGGAGCAGCTCAAGGAGGTGAGCGCGGGGGGTCCCGGCAGGCCCCGTGCTGCCGGCGGCGGCGCGGCCGCGGGGTGGCACCGCGGAGGGCGGCCCTGGGCCCGGGGAGCCCCGCGGGGCGGCGGGCCGCGCGCGGCCCGCGGAGCTGCCCCGCGCGCAGCGGAGCGGAGCGGAGCGGCGCGCCTGGCAGAGCTTGGCTCCGGAGCGAGCCCCTGCCCCTCCGAGGGAGGGCTCCCATCCCGGGTAACGAGCCGGCAGCGCGAGCTCTGCCGCGGGGATGCTGCTTGCTGGGTCCACGGGTGCAGAAGCCCTTCTCCTGGGAGATCCCGTCTGGATTGCTGGGAAAGAGCTTCCTTGGGAAGAGCTGATGCACAGGGTGACACTAACAATGCCAGGATATCCAGGCTGGTGTCAGCTGTGGTGATGATGGAGTAGCTGATCCCCTGCCATGCATAGAATAGCACATCCCACCAGACCGTGCTCATCTGCTTGTGCCCACAGCTATTTTGGTGCCTGTTTCCATGCGGGAGAGCCCTGTGCTGATTTTTGAGCAGCCCGAGGCCTTGCCATGTTGTAAAAGATCYGCCTTGGCTCCCGATGTGGACGGGTGTGGATGAACCCAACCAGTGTGAGCTGTGTCGGGGGGTGTTTGGGTGGTTCATTTCAATTCGAAATAGATTTGGGGCTTTGTGGTGCTGTTCACGCTGGATCCATTTCCCGAGGCAAATAAACTCTCCCCAGGGGCTTGGTAAGGTTTCACCCAAGCCCAGGAGCCTCCTCRCTTCCTGCATGCTGCGTGTCTTCTGCACTGGTAAATGGAGCCTTTCTGCTTTTATTATGTTAAACCAGCWTAACCAAAAGAAGTTAATTATTTGAATTAAATAGCTGTACCCTTATTAACTAAATGCAATTTAATTTGATGTGCCTGTGAAACTAAAGCCACTTGAAACTGACTCACAACAATAGAAATATCAGTGAAGGTGTTAGAGGACAGCTTGGAAAGGAGGAGATAGTCACAGAGTGGGAGCTTAAGGGAAAGAAACATCTTTAAGGCTCCTCGCTGTGTGGGATGGGGGAACGGGGCTGCCTCGGGTGGCGGGACTGGCCCGGTCTGACTGGACGAGTGCTGAGGTGGGAGAGGAGGCGGCGCTGCTGGTCCCGGCCCCGCTGCGGGTSCCTGGGCGCTGCAGGCTTTGTCCTTCAGGTGCAGAAGCCTTCCCTAGAATGCAGCCTCTCCTCAGAGAGAGACTGAAAAATGAAAAGGGTAGGAGCAGTACTGATTCACTCGTGTTTGCTTTTGTTAATCTGAAGGATTTGCTTTGTGTCTGTCCATGTCCTGTGGTGATGAAGTCAGAACCTGGGAGGCAGGAAATTCTGGGAACAGCGTGAGGACTGTGCCCTTGAGCCTTCCCAGGGAAAACGCTGCTCCTCTGGTGTGTTTGGGATGCTGTGGATGGATCTGCTCTTGGTTAGATCTGCTAAACCTTTAGCAGATGTGTGAAGCATGTTCTCRCAGGGACTGATCTTCCTTGCAGTTCATGCAACCCTTGCTTTTCCCAGGCACATCTAGAAGACACAACTTGTGTTTTGCATACAAGACTTGCCACATGTCAAGCTCCAGTTGGAAAGAATTCCACCTTGGGTTGCTAAAGTTTGTAATGGAATYGGTGGTGGAATATCTGTTTCGAAAAGGGGCATCTCTTGCTGCTTAATTTGACTATATCTGAGCTTTTGAAGCAGTTTCAGGCTTTTAACTCTCGCTTTGTGCTGAATGCTGTGCAAGCAAATAGCCAAGTCTCCTGTCCTGCTGGCAGCTGTGTTAAGCGTGGATATCCTTAAATTTGTTTCATGTTATAATGAAACATGGCCTCTCTCATGGCCCATTCCTACAGGATGGGCTCTGAGCATGGAAAGATGCATTGATAGTTGGTTGTATTGATTCTTTGTTGCAACGAGGGCTTTTCTGCTACAGCTGTTGCAGTGTCAAGAGCTTTTTGTCTGATTCCAAGGCACCTGTCTCCAAAGGCTGTGTTAGGATCCCATGGCCTTAACCCCCACAGTTCAGTGAGCGGCCGACGTCCTCAGAGCTGCGCCCTGGTCTGTAGAGGTGTCTCCGTGCACCTCGTGTTTGCAGTTCGGGTCTTCCAGTCCTCGCACTGAGGCTTCACGTCAACCTCTCCTCAGGGTCTGTGAGAACTGCGGGCTCCTTGCTGGGTTTGTCCTCTGGTATGGTCACCAATGGCTTGGGTCCTTACAGTGGTCTGTGCTTCTCTATCATTTCATTTGGAAGAAGTAAAGATTTAAGTTTGAGTTGCAGGTAGATGAAGTTGTTGTTTTCATCACACTCTTGCTTTTGTAAAATGAATCCTATTTGTTTGTTAAATATTAKAGTCAAAACAGAAACATTTTTTTTTTCCCTTGTAAGTTACTGGCTTTCTTGCAGTGAAATACATAATGTTATACATATACATATACATATAGGTATATTTATGTGTATCTTCTTGCATTTGAAGTAATGAGGTGTCTTTGTAGGCTGCTTTCAGCTAGGAAGTCATTCTGAAGCAGCTGTCTGCAACAGAGCTACCATATAAATTATAGGGCTACATGATCAAGTTAGCCCTTCTATACTTAAGGGCAGGATATGTAGGATCATCTCCTTGATGTCTCCTACAAAAGTGGCTGTCTGGGGATTCAGTTATTGACGTCCTTGATGATTTTGGAAGAATGCGGCTTGGCATGGCAGCTCGAGAAAGGGGTTATCTGCTTTACTCAGCACTTCTGAGGTGCATTTGAGATGTCAGTTAGATTTCCAGGGAGCTGTTAGTGCAGATATGACGTTGGCTGCTGTTCAAAACTGCTTTCCGATTAGCTGTTCAGGTGGCATTGGTGGTGGAAGACTCATATTTTAAACCCCTCTGAAAACATGGGCTTGATCGTATTATGAATTATTTATTTTTGCACTAATGTAAAACTAYGTGAGGAGAGAGTGCCTTTCCTTAAAGTATGTGTCAGTAAATCACAACTAATGCCAAAGCCTTCTTTGTATATGGATTTTAAAGAAGAAAAAGGAAAAAAACATTTGAGAAAACAGAGAAAAGAGATGATAAAAGTAGTGGCTGCTGCTTTCTTTTTTTTTCCCATTCTCCATTAAATTTATCTGCACTGCAGTCTTTTTAATTCTTTTCTTTTTAATTCTCCTATTTTTTCCCTTTCATTCAGCATCTTGAAGCATCAAAGGCACTCGGTTTATAAAACCTGGCACACAGTGAGAAGGTTTTAGAGATAACTGTGTGTCTGGGTGCACATGTGATGACCAAACTACTGCAAAGTATTGAACATTGAGTTTTTTTTTTTTTTTTGTTTTGTTTTGTTTTTTTTTTTTTTTTTTGAAGGGAAGAGACAAAGGAAAAAAGGAGAACAAGTCCTTAGGTAACATGAAATATGCTTTGCTAACAACCATGAAATGCTTGCAAAGAAAGGAACAGCTTGTGTGCAACAGTTAATTGCTCTGTAGGGTGGCAATGGCTCTAGTTTCTGCTTTTTATCTTTAAGGCTCCTCATGCATTGATTTTATTGTGACATGAACTGTACGGAGAATTCCTGGATAGGTCTTGTAAGTTMATGTGAAAGCTTGGGCAGCCCCATTTCTCGCTCGGGTGAAGTGGGGCACCCAGGGCGCAGAGGTGCGGGCCGGCGCAGAGACCTTGTGGCGAGCGTGTGSATACAGTGCTGAAGTGCAGGGCACTGCATCTGCCATCCCGGCAGGAGGTTTGCCTTGGGTAATTCTCCTACCTATCTATTCACAAGTTAATTTGCTATATTGATCCAGACTGTTTTAACATTTTGTCAGTGTGCATCAGAAGTGAAAAGGAAATCATCCCCATTCCTGTKGGGAGAAAGATGTGTGCATTGTACACAGACACACAGGCTACTTATTGGAATAGCAGTGAATTTCCTTGCGGAATCTACCTACTTCCAAAGTGTTTTACATGCTGTCGTGTTCATTTTGTGTAGGGACATTAGGGCATGGAGAAGAGAACTCTGCACAGAGAATAGCCACAAAACAAGTCAGTGGTAGAGAAGGGTTAGTTAAATCCTCTGTGCCTGTAGGTCAGTGCTTGCTTGACTAGGTCTTCCCATCTAATCACAGTAAATAGTTATGATCAGTAATAATATCCCGAAGGCCTTATAGAGACCTCTGCAAGTTCCTCTGAATATTCAGATAGAATATAGGTTGCTAGTGGAAGCATAAAGGGAAGAACCTCGCTGGCAAGTGAGATTACATCTACATCCCGTGCCTGAAGAGGAAAGGGAAGGGTGTGTAAGAAAAATGTTTTGTTTTACTTTAAGAATACAGCAGCTTAATTTTAATCTGATTTTATTTTCAGTGGGATGTGCACTTGCTGCTGTTTTTTTTGAAAAAGTACTTTTCTTGCATATCCTTACTTTGAAGAAAGCAAAGCCTGAAAATTCAATCAYTGCAGTTTTTCCTATTGTACTAAAAATAGAAACCTGAGAGAGTTCCTGAGTGTTCCTTGGATTGCTCTTCTGAAAGATCAGGAGTAATGTGCTTTGAGGGAGGTATGATTTGGGATTCTTCTCATAAAATTGCCAAATCTTCGTCTTGTGTTTTTTCCCTCACAATAAAATTCACTATATGTTATATGTGGAATTTCAGTAAATATTTGGGTGGTTAGTAAGTACCTTAGAGTGCAATTCAGTTATTAAAAAAGCAAATTGCAGAGCAGAGGTTTCCTTTAAGTCAATGCAGTCTCCTCTGAGAGCTGTGTCCTGGGCAACTCGGGTGGCTTTTGGTTTTGAGCTTGTGTTTTGTGGTGCTTGTTTGTGTCCATCCCAGCTTGAGGTCTGTCACCGGCTGTGGGGCAAGCCCTAGGGAGCTTGTTTCCCGTTTTCCAGGCTGGCCTGACCTCGGGATGGCCGGGCACTGGGATTTGGCAGCCCTGCTCTGCRTGTCCTGTCCCCGTGCAGGTGGCAGTGCTGTGCTCGCCGTGCCTGCC